TTTTTTTTTTTTTTTTCCGAGTTCTGAGTGCTGACGAGGCAGCCTCCCTCTCTAGCCTCCACCTTGCCCCTCGGAGGTGAGGCCGGGCGCAGGCGGAGGCGCCAGGACGCGCTGGGCGGGGCGGAGGACAGGCGGCCGGGGGGTGGGGAGGACCACACCTCGAGCGGGCTGCAGGGGCAACAGGAGGGATTTTAAGGTGTGAGATGGACTAGGAGGCAGAGACCACCTTCAGGGTTACAGGAAAAAATGAAATTGTTGGAACTGGGTTGCTACCAAAAAAATAGGATGTCCGGTTGCTTTTGAACGAGGGATGTTTAAAGTGCGTATGAACCCCCGGTGGCTTTTGAGGGTGACAGAGGGATGGATCCCACGGGCCGTTTGCGCTGCCGAGGTGTGGGGTCCGAGCCTGAGGGCTCGACGCCCGGGCGTGCTCATGGCGTCTCCTCTCGCCTTCTCCACCCAGACAGGCATGGCTCTGCTCTTCGCAGTGGGCTGCGTCTTCTTCCCGTCGCTCTTTACCCTCCTCTGCTGGGGCCTAGAGAACCACTCCAACCTGCAGATGGAGAGACTGGAAGCTGTTCTGGTGGCGTCCAAGTAAGAGGACAGGGCGAGGGCGCCCTTCCGGGGGCCAGGGCTGGTGGCGCTGACCCTCTCTCAGGAAGGGTTGGCGGTGAGCGCGGCCGCGCAGGGGGCGGGGCGGGGCGACTCAGCACAAGAGAGACACTGGCTGTGGAATATTTTGAGTGTCATTTAGCATCTCTGACCGGTGCAGTCCTCATTTGTAAACGGATTTAATAAGAATACCCACAGCCCTGGCCGGTTTTCTCCGTGGTTAGAGCATCATCCCCCGTCCGTAAAACAAGGATACTACCATCCGGGAAGATGAAATGAGAACGTAGGGAAATCACCTTGCCCCATGCTGAGCACATAGGACACGTTCAGGAAGTCGGGTCCCCTTAAGTGAAGCCCTGAGGTCAGGAAGCTAGGTCCACTATTGTTTCTAAAATTGTCCCGAACTCCCGCCGAGGCCAGAGGCCTCCTAGGGTCTGTTCCTCAGCACGCCACTAGAGGGCAGCGTGCAATAGAAAATCCCGGCTCTTTGATTTAGGGGGCGGGAGATGGAAAAGGCTTGAAACAGGCAAAAGCAAATTGTAGGGCTGCTTACCGAGGTGTATCTTATAGGGCAGGCCGGGAAAGCAAAGGTTTGGGTAGCAGGTCCCACGTCATGCAGAAGTCCACAGGACTGCTGGGTGCAGGGTGGGAAGGCAGCACCAAGGCAGAAACCAGTCTGGTTCTGGCTGAGCTTCTGACCTGCAGCGTGACCTTGGCCAAGTCACTGGGCCTCTGTTTCCATACGGTTGAATGAGGGGCTTGAACCAGCCAATCCCTGGTCCTTTCCAATCGGAAACTTGGCTGTTCTGTGAAGTCGCAGAGAAAGAAGCATAATAAACCTGGAGAAAAAGAGTGACCAGTGCTCAGGGGAGGCCAGGAGAGGCCAGGAAGCTGAAGGACAGGGGCGGGAGCATCCTAGGGCTCCAGGTAGGTTTTCTGAGAGGTAGCATTTCTCCACCCTCTTCACACTCCACAGCCACACTCACACCTAGTATGAAAGGGTTCCTGCCTCTTATTATGTGTGTGTTGTTGGGGAGGTCACTGAAGACCTAGGGATCATTTTTGTCCTGTAAATAGGGGACAGGTACCGTTACCTCAGTGATGTTACAACAGTTAGACGAAGTCACAGGGCAGTTTGGAGTGGAGCCAGGACCTAGAGGCACAGCATATAGGTACACCTGGAGTTTCCCTCCCTGCCACCCGGGTGAAGGCTGTGGATGCTTCTGAGTCTGAAGGACACTATGTTGAAGTGTTTTTATTCCTATCCATTCCTTAAAATAATCCTTCAGAGACCCCAAGATGCACCACTCCCTCCTCCAGGGAATCCTCTATCCCCTGCTGGAGTGGGCCCCCTAAGCTGGGCCCCCCAACAGGCCACTGAGGGACAGGTGTTGGCAGGCATTTGCAAAATGCTGGTGGGAAACAGGATCAGGCCCATCTGGGGGCTGAGAGCCCCCTCCCAGCTGGCCCAGGAGCCCTGGGCCACCTTCCCCCGCAAGAGGAGAGCCTCCCCTCCCCTGGCCCTAGTCCGCAGCAGCCCCCGTGCCGCAGCTGCGGTCTCTTTAAGGGCCTCCCCCTCCCTCCTTCTTTGCTCCCCCCATCTCTGTCGCAGCCGCTGCTGTGGCTCAGAGCTGCATGGGGAGACGCCACTGCAGGTCCGGTTTCTTGGTGTCTGGTCGGTGCCATCATTTCCCCACCCCTCCCCCGCCCTACCCAAGCTGGTGACTTCCCCTTCCCCCTCCCCCTCCCACTGAGGGGGCAGGGGGCTGGGCATGAACTCTCTATAATGCCCCATGCGGCGTCAG